GAATGCCTGCACACTGACTGCAAGGTAGACATGCCACAGTCCAGGCTCCCTTAGCAATTTCCAAATGCCAGCAAGCACAGAGAGATACAAGCACAATGCAGTGTTAAAACAGGTAAACTGGCCAAGCCAACTGAAAAGATTAAAGGCTCCCAACAGGACCCATTCTCCCCCAACCCACTTCACTTAAATTAACATTTATTGAAGCCATTCCCACAGTACCTGAACATACAGGAGTTTTGTTCTGTACAGAAGAGCCACTAATAGGCTTGCCATCAGGTGTCACACACCAGCAGTATCCAGTGTAGGTGTGGCACTGCACCTGTTGGATAAAACAAAGAGCAGGCATTTCATTTCTCACTATCACTCACCACTTTTACTGTAATCCATCCCAACCCAGGCACATCACAAACACATGCTGCAAAGTAAGGAGGTCACATAGAAGAGTATCTTTGATAACATTACCTTTTCTTCTCTCCCCTCACTTCCCTCCACAAAGGAAGGAGAGTTCTCCTACTCTAACTCCTTTAGCTGCAATTCAGGAGGCAAAACAAGGTACAAGTAGTCAGCTGAGAACAGTTCAGTTTGGGGATGCAGCAGTTTCATCTCAGCTCATTTCACCCTCTTCTAAATCCCATTTACTGTTTAACACTAAATAGTTGTCTCTGCATCCCAGCTGGAATGTGGAAAGGCCACCCTGGCCCAATTCCACAGATGCTGCTTGAGAACAGCATCTGTGGGTGTATCAAGAGCATTTTATTCAGTAAACATGGCTAGAAGAATGCAACACTGACTTTATGTTAACAAACCTCCAGATAGATTTAAGCTCTCTCCTGTTCCTATGCCAACCTAGGCAGTAGGAGCAAGATCCAACATGCTTGCTGTTCATGTACTGACAGAGACTTAAGCATATGTGATGAAGACTCTGAGTCAAAAGGTACATAGCATAAGAGTCACCTTGCTTAACTTTAAAGTTCTTCTGAACTGAACATCTAAGAATTGCCCATTTCCTTCCTTCACCACAGAAGGACACCAGAATGACTTGTTCAGAATGTGAACCTCTAAAGTAAGACTAAATAAATCCCAGTCTACCAGATCGTTCTTTGTAACATCAATGCAGATATTAGTTCAGTGGTACAACAATTTCATCCATCTTAACAAAAGGCTTATTGGCCTTTGCCTCATCTTTCATGGAGTGGCCAGCACTAGGATGAAATTCAGGATGTCTAACTTCCCTCAAGACAAAATTAAATTACCCTGGAGGCATCTGTGTAAATACTAACAGGTTCCAAAATCCTTCCTAGCAAACAAGCTTTCACTTGTGGCTGAGTGTGCACACCAGTGCTTTCAGAATCTTGAAATGGCACAGAAATGCCTATCTTACTATAAGCTAGAGATGGCTCCTTCAATATGGTTCTCAAAAAAAGCTGTAGAATGGGATCACTTCAGAAGCTGCTTTTTTATTATACTTGTAAATTGAATTCTGTCCATTCTGTCTCCAAACAAGTTAATTGAAGCCAATTTCCCATTCCAGTCCTCTCCACACAGAACAGAAGAATGATGGGGTGTTTGTGCTGTTCCCTTCATTAGGGATCCTTCAGTCATTCCCCCTTGCTGACAGCTGGTTCCGATTCTCTAAGGTAGCAGAGTTTGCTCAGACTTAACAACAGTCTCTTTAAAAGGCTTTGAGTATCACATAAAACATGATCTAAGAGCAATTATAACAGAACCATGTGTTTATATTGGGCTTTACTAAAGTGCAAATCAATCATTTTGCCTCAAATTGACTCTTAGCAGCTAAAATCAACGATAATCTCATGCACCATGTTAGTGAAGTCACTGTAACTGCCATCTGCAAGATTTTATTCTCTTAGTATTTCACAAAATTGATTGCAAATTACTCAAAAGCATTACAAATACAATTAGCAATAATCAAGTTGCAAAATATTCCTTACTGTACAGCATAATAAATTGCACATTCAAAATAAGCATGATGGAACTGCTTGGGTTCCTGTGTTTAGTGTTTTATCTTTGCTGATCTCACACACATTATTGCATTCCCAACAGCAGAAGAAGCTGTCTTTACATCTGAGCACTAATTGTAAAAGTCCTACCCAGAAACAGACCAAAATTTCAGGACAGGGTCTTGAATTCTTCGGGCAGGACCATTCCATATTACATTACAGAAAAAATCCAGTGTACCCAGTATTTAAAAATTCCAAGTGTCAGTGACCTGATAGTCTGTTAGCCAAAACTTCAGAAAATAAAGTATATGGCAGAGGAGTCCAAAAAATATACTGCCATAAATTAAGATATATGCATTAAGAGCATTTTATGCAACTCATCTCAATGGAGAGCTACTAAAATTACACTCATTTATGCAAGTCAAGCAGACTACATTCATAAAAGCAAAGTAATTTTATAAATAAACAGATTATGGTCTTCCTTGGACTTCCATGACCCTTTCTTCCCCTTGCCTCCATTAAGAAAGAAAGAATAAGAAATAAATCTGATTGGCAGTACTTTCACAACCACATGTTCTACTGCAGCAGCAAAAGACTTCCTTACTAGGGACAATAGCAGCAATCATACTTCAGCCTTTATCCTAAAAGCCAGACAACTACCTATAAAGAACAGACTTCAGAAAGCTCAAAAATCATGGCAGCTGGCTTTCCTGCATGTCCTCATGATGAGATGCTACCTTTCACCTTGATACTTCAGCACATTTAGGTGTCCTAACAGTGGCCTTCACACTATAGAGTTTGCAGCCTAAAGGCTGGGAAAAAAACCTGGTATACATTTCATCAGTTACATAGCCCTGATATGGCATTTAAAAAATGTAATAGCTGATCCAGAATAATTTCTACAGAGTTTGTTTACACAATGTTTAAAGGGTCAACTATGTCAGGAAGTGTTGGATTTTTTGTTTCTACTTCTTCTAAAGCTAAGCACTGTGTAAGAGAAAACACATTACCAATTGTACATACAAAATAAACTCAATTGCTAAGCCAGCAACATTCATTACTGTTGGAAAGGCACAAAATTTCACATCTCAAATTAACATACACATTTCCAACAGCTGAACATTATAAGGTATATAATAGGAAATCAGAGAAATAAAACCTGCAAGTCATTTGAGATCTTTCAACAGATTTCCTATTAACCACTACACTCAAAAAAATCAAACACTGCAGTTTAAAGCCCTGCAAGGACCTGAATCCCTGATCATGCAGGACACCCTCCAAGTGAGAGATATGAGATTTGAACTGTCTCAGCTGAAGGATGAAAAGCATAAGGGACAAACCCAACAAAAATTGCTTTGCCACCCTTGCCCAAATACAGAGTACAGCAGCAGCTCCTCTGTTCCCCCCCTCCCCTACAATGTGTGAGATCAAACACCAGCTGACACAATAACCACTAGCCCCATGAATAAACACCTGCTCTTATCAAGCTCATTACAGTACAAAAACATTACAAGCATTAGTCTCTGGCAGACAACCCTGCCTCTTAATTTCCTGAGAGAAAACCCACCAAATTTTTTCAATATCTCACTGGCAATGCCAGAATCTGATTCCCAAGCAGTCCAATGCTTCTGAACAAGCCAGCAGCAGCACCCCTTCACAGACACTTGACAAAGGAGGATTAAGGAGTTGTTCCCAAAAGATAAACTGGAAATGGGAGTGGAATTTCATGCACATGTATGAGGGAGAGAACAGGGGCAAAGCAGTAACTCTGTAATGGCTGAAAGTAATCTCTATGGAGTTACAGAAAGGAGAAGTTTTCTGTAAGAAGCTTGAGAGTGCCTTGGACAAGCACTGGGCTGAGGGAAGGAACAGCAACATTCAGACAGCCTTACACTGCTAGTCATAAGAGTTTGGTAACCAAAAAATGTGTTCATATGTATTTATATCTTCTCTTCTACTCTACTCTCATGAGACCCCAGCTGGAGTACTGTGTCCTGTTCTAGAGCCCCCAGTATAAGAATGACATGTACCTGCTGAAGCAAGTCCAGAGAAGGGCCACAAAGATGAACAGAGGGCTGGAGCCAGCTATGGAGACAGGCTGAGAGAGTTGGGCTTGTTCAGTTTGAAAAAGAGAAGGCTCCAGAGAAACCTTACAGCAGCCTTCCAGTAACTGAAGTGGCCTATAGGAAAGCTGAGGAGGGACTTTGTACAAGGGCAGGGAGTGACAGGACAAGAGGTACTGGTTTTAAACTGAAAAAAGATATATTTAGATTAGATCTCAAAAATTCTTCACTATGAGCGTGGCAAGACACTGGAACAGGTTGCCCAGAGAAGCTGTGGCTGCCCCCTTGCTGAGGGGGAGGTTGGATGGAGCTTGTGCAATCTGGTCTTGTGGGAGGTGTCCCTACCCATGGCAAGGGGGTTGGAACTAGATGATCTTCAAGGTCCCTTCTATCCCAAACCATTCTATGGTTCCTATTCCATTGCAAGTCAAACATCTCCTGGCTCCTTCCACCATGGAAGGTAGAGAGGAGAAGAAAAACATTCCTTCTGCATTCAATGCAATACTTCTTATGAGAGCAGATAAAACATTCAGCTTTGAATAGTACTGCTGAGGGTGAGGGCAGGCAGCAGAGCTACTGCCCGCATTCCCAGCATGAGGCAAGGCTCCAAGCCCCGGAAACACACAGGCAGGTGCTCCTTGTAAACACTGCAAATACAGCTAAATAAAATGTTCCAAGCTATTAGGTAATCTGGTTTGACCCAGAGAGCAGAAGCCAGTGTCACACAGCAATACTTTAATCAAGCCTTTCCTCTGTTCAAACCATTTAGGCTCAGCTAGAGTGGCATACAATCAGCACAGTCCCTTTACAGACAATTTTAGGGACCTATGAATCACTCTGCATCCTTAGTTTGAGATTCTTTGGGACTGCAACCCCTTAAATAATTCTTGTCATTTTTTTTTGCTCCCTGATCACATTTAATTCTTCCCAAATGATGTTGTGCAGACAATTATTCCCACCAGGACTTCGTAGCAGCCACCACTCAAGTCTATGCACCATTCAAGAAATGCTTGCTCCACTGGTATTTCACTGTTCACATAACCAGGGAAAGAACTGATTAGTTGCAGAAGAATTGTAGCTGTAGCCAAAGGCTCCCCCAACACATGCTCTGACACAGCATTTTTAGCTCAGGATAGGGATCCCCAAGAGAGTGTCTTCTGCTTTTGATGCAGAATGCAACCCTTTAACATTAAGGATTATCTTATATTGTTGCTTTCTTTAAGGATGTCAACTCCTGCTTTAAGATTCTATTCAGTTTCTTTATTGACTGGTACTTGTTGCAGAAATGCTCCATA